TTCAGCTCAGGTCATGATCCCAGGGTCCTGGGATCAAGTCCCGCATCGGGCTCTCTGCTCAGCAGGGAGCCTGCTTCCTCCTCTCTATCTCTGCCTGACTCTCTGCCTACTTGTGATCTCTGACAAATAAATAAATAAAATCTTAAAAAAAAATCCCCTAAAATGTTGGGGAGCCTGAGTGGCTCAGTTAGTTGGGCATCCAACTCTTGATCTCAGCTCGGGTCTTGATCTCAGGGTCATAAATTCAAGCCCTGCACTGCTCTCCATGCTGGGCATGGAGCTTACTTAAAAAAAAAAAAATTAAATTAAATCTCTCAGAGTCTTAGACATCTCGTCCTTAAAATGGGTGGGAAAGGGGGCGCCTGGGGGCCTCAGTCTGTTGGGCGTCTGCCTTCAGCTCAGGTCATGATGGAGCCCCGCCTTGGGCTCCCTTCCCTGTGCAGGGTCTGCTTCTCCTTCTCCTTCTGCCCCTCCCCACTGCTCATTCTCTCTCTCTCTCTCAAATAAACAAATAAAAATCTTTTTTTAAAAATGGTGGGAAGGGGGGCCTGGGTGGCTCAGTGGCCTAAGCATCTGCCTTCGGCTCAGGTCATGATCTCAGGGTCCTGGGATCGAGCCCTGCTGCATTAGGCTCTCTGCTCAGCAGGGAGCCTGCTTCTCTCTGTCCTTCCCGCTTGTGCTCTCTGTCGCTATCTCTGTGTCTCTCTCTCTCAAATAAGTAAATAAAATCTTAAAAAAAAATGGTGGGAAAATGCAGGCTCTTGGGGTTGCTGTGAGAACCACAGCGGTGGGCACTGGCGTATTATTACTGCATAACAAGGTACCGCACGGTGTGAATATAGTTTGTAAAGTAAAAGGGCTTAGGTTCTGCACAAGAGCAAGGGTAGCGGCCAGTGTCCACTGAAGGTGACCGAGGCCACGGGTCAGATACCGCATGTGGTTTTAATCACATTTAATCCTCGCCAAGTATGGACAGGTGAGTTATCTATTAGTGCAAACCACATAAAGTTGCCGGTATTTGGCCACATTTTGTATGGTTTCCCCCAATATTATTAATACCCCTGTTTTATAGAGGAGGAGCCTGGGGTTTTGGAAACTAGAGAGAGTTGACAACATACCTGAGTTTTTTTTTCTCCCCACCCTGGTAAATCTCTTCATGTTGGAAGATCCAGAGAAGATTTCGGCATTACCAACCCCGCCCCCCACAACCACTTTTTTTTTTTTTCCATCTAACTTTATTCTCCAAACCAAAAACTGGGCCATGCAGCCTGACAGAGCTTCTGGGCTGTGCCCCTGGGTGTGAGGAACTGCCAACATGTTAGAATTTCTGGGACACGCCAGTGGTTCAAGACAAGAAAGGGATGGAGGGTTATGAAACTAGGAATGACCTGGAAAATCAGAGCCATGGGGCTGGTGGAGCTGACCAGAAGGCTGGCTGCATTTCAGGGAAGGCAACAAGATAGAGGGGGGCAGGGAGGCGGCAGCTTTGGGCCCTTAAATTTGAGCTCCTCCCTAGCTGTGTGACCTTGGACAAGTGTCTTCCCCTCTCTGAGCCTCCGTTTACCAATTGGAGTAAGGACAGTTCTCTGCAGGGCTATTGGCACAGTTGGCACAAATATACACGAGAGGCTTGGACTAGAGCTTGGTACACAGGAGATGTTCAGTCCCCCATGACTTGAGCTGCCATTGTCAGGAGGCGTGGATATCTGAGCCGGGTCTGGGTGGGGAGGTTTGCCAGGTGTAGGAGGGTGGCACGGGGCATGCTTGGGAGCGCCATGCCGAGGCTGCAGGAAGGAAAGTGCAGGGAATGGTAAGGTCTGGGAAGAGAGGATAGGGAAGGACAGACCACTTCTGTCCTTGAAAGTCAGGCCTGGGGGGCTGGGACTCCTGTCCCAGGGCACTAGGGAGCCATAGGAGGGCTGGGAGCAGGGAGGAGTAGGGTCAGCTCTGGGTGTGGCGGCCTAGAGGGAGGCCAGGGAGGAAGCTGGGGCAAGGAGTCCATAGGGAGAGGACCAGACCTGACCAGCGCTAGGACTGAGAGCCCAGAGGAGGGGAGGAGCAGAGACAGACCGCCAGGGGTACGGGAGCAGGGGAGACAGAGGGATGGGAGGCTGGCCTGGGACTGGCTCAAGGAGGCCACTGTTCCAGGATGGGGACCTGGCAGGGAGTGTAAATTCGGGGTACAGGCAGGCTGACTCTCACTTCTAACCAAAGTGAAGGTGATTTGGCGTAAGGTGTCCGACTGACCTCTGCACCATGCTGTAACCTCCATCCCACCCCCCGCCCCTTCTCTCCTGCCCACAGAACCCTCCAAAACCCCAAACTGTGAAAACTCTCAGAAACCAGGGCCCAGTCCCTCAGCTTGGAGATGGGGAAACTGAGGCAAAGCATCAGAGTCACACAGACAGCTCTGGGCTGAGACTCAGATGCCCAGATTCAGAGTCTGATTGGTGCCCTTCCTTGCCTGGGGTCCCACCTCCCTCCACCCACCCCCCCCCCCGGGCCCCTCTCCCCTACCTGCAGGATCTCCATGGCTCCGTGCAGCGCATCTGCCAATTCCTGGGACGGCCGCTGGGTGAGGAGGCGCTGGGCTCCGTGGTGGCACACTCAGCTTTCCGAGCGATGAAGGCCAACGCCATGTCCAACTTCACTCTGCTGCCCCCCAGCCTGCTGGATCAGCGCCACGGTGCCTTCCTCCGGAAAGGTGAGGAGGGGGGAATTCTGGGGTGCTACTGCCTGGCTGTGTGGCCTGGGCGAGTCACGTAACCTCTCTGGGCCTCAGTTTTCCCCACTGAAACTTGGGGTTGCTCCAAACAGAATGACCTTCACAGCGTCACTGTGGACGCAGGACTGACGCCCCCCCCCACCCAGGGCTTAGCCTGGGGCCGGGCACACTCACACTCTTTGAGGCTATCCAGAGTCTTCGCGAGGACTGACTCGGAGCCTCTCACCTGGAGGCTAAATGGGGGTTACATGGATGACCCAGGATCCTCCCCCTACCTCCAGGTCTTTAACAATGACACCGGCAAACTTCCTTTTGCCATGCAAGGTCACATAGGCACGGGTTCCGAAGACTAGGACAGGTCAACATCTGGGGTGGTGATTATTCAGCCTCCACAGTGAGCCCCCCAGACCTCACCAGGGTCCTCGTGTAGTATGTGGGGTGTACACTTGCTAAGATTCAAAATACCACGATCCAAATGACATTGGCCCCTGGATTCCAGGTTAAAGCCCCATGACAAAGTGAGAAACGTGAGGGTCGGAGGGATCCCCGCACCTGTCTGGGCACATGGAAGGGGCAGAGTTCCCACCCCTTGCCTGCTCAGCTGTTGCGAGTGTTAAGGAGTGAACCCCATGAACCCAGGGCAGCCCTTCAGCAGGTCCCCTGGCACCGAGTGTGGGAAAGCTTTCATTCCCACTGTCAGAGCCACAATGGAGGTAGTGCAGGGGTTGCAGGAGCCCTGGGGTGAGAAAGCCCTGTTCTAAACAGGGAGGTGAGGGATGGGTCATAGTGACACAGTCACACAGGTGACACCGGGGCAGGAATGCTGGGTGGGGAGGCAGATGGATGTTCTGGGCAGAGAGCTTTAAGGGGTCAGGGGAAAACCAGGAAGGCAACAGGTCTACCAGAGGGACAAATAGGATGGGAGGAGCTGAGGGAGGGAGGGCGCAAGAAGGGTGCCCAGGGGTCTGGCCAGATGACTGGAGACAGAGGCGGCCACCGTAGGAGGTAAAGGGGCAACGTGGAGATGAAGGGGGTGGGGAGGTGCTTCTGGCAAAGGCCCGGAGGTGGGGAAAGGGGTGCTGGCATGTCAGGGGCGGGAAAGGTTCCCATGTTCCTCACCTCGCCCTCCCCCCCCCACCCTCCAGGGGTGTGCGGCGACTGGAAAAACCACTTCACGGTGGCGCAGAGCGAAGCCTTCGACCGTGTCTACCGCGAGCAGATGCGGGGACTGCCCACCTTCCCCTGGGACGTGCCCGACGACGCCAGCCCGGACCCCGATCCCAGCCCCAGCCCCCCCGAAGCCTCCGAGGCCCCCAACCCGTGACTCTGAGAATAAACGCGGTGCTCCTGCCCCCGGCTCTCGCTGCGCTCTGGAGGTGACTTGCCGCGGTCGACCGGCAGGGGGCGCGCGAGGGAGGCGGCGGCTGGGGGTGGGGAAGCGCCGCGCCGCCAGGGCCTCCGGGGAGGACGAGGTCTTCTCCCCGACCCCGCACGCCAGTGGGGTCGGTGACTCGGAAGCCCCTGCCGGAGGCGAAGGTGCTGCGGGGAGGCAAGCGCTGGGCACCTGCCTCCCCCAGGGCCGGGGCGCTGCGGCGGGGACGCCTGGGGGGTGTGAGGGAGGAGGGGGCCAGCACCGCATTCCTGGGTCTTCTGCTAGGCTGTGCAAATGCAAGATTCTGCCATCACGCAGCTTTATTCTGAGCAGAGGGAAAGGGAGCCCCCAGCAACTCAGTCCTTAGCACCGGCAAAACAGCCCCAGGGCCCCTGGCCCTGACCCATCCCCCCGGCAGCTGTGTCCCCATCAATTTCTAGGCCGTCATCGTTCAGCCCCGCTCCCTGGGTTGGATTCTGTCCTCTCCCCTGCCAAGCTGTTTACCCAGAGCTCCTGAGCACGGTTTGTGCCCGAAGCTCCCCCACTTTGTCCCAGGGGCTCCCCACCTTCACCCCACACAATTCACAGCACGTGGGGGAGGGGGGTGCCGGGGGTCACTCAGCCAGGCCCCTCCCTCCACAGGGAAGTTCTGGCTGGGCCAAGTGGGACATGCACTGTTCTAGGATCTTAGCTCCTCAAGACTTTCTGCCCATTTCCTAAACTGTGACACTGGCCTCTAGGGTGAGCACTGGGCTTGCCCAGGTTCTAGAACAAAGAGAAAAAAAAATCCCTTCTGCTGCTTTCCAGACAGACACCCACGCCAGAAGCCTTGTCCCAGGCACCACCCGGAGGCAGGGGGCTTGGAGCTGCTGGTCAGGCCGGCCCCGTGCGGCTTTGGCTCTATTACGGCTGCCCCCTGAGTCCCGCCTGGGCAGCCCAATCTGGCTGCTGGCCGCCTCGGGGTTCCAGGAGTTTGGAGGCAGTATCCGCACCAAACCTCCTTCGGGTCGGTGACAGATAGCGGATGCGGCATGCGGGATGGAGGGGCAGGGTGCTGCCCCAGGGCTGGGACCGGCTCAGAGGACGGGGCTCTGTCTCACCCCTGGGGGCCCCTCCAGTGCCCCGCTGCCTCATCAGGGCCTTCGCTGGGGTGTCCTTGGAGCCCCAGGACGTCTTGAACTGTGGAGGGAAAGAGAGGGAGGTGAGAGAAGGCTCCAGGGTCTGAGTCCCTGTGTGTGTGTGTGTGTGTGTGTGTGTGTGTGTGTGTGTGTGTGTGTGTGTGTCTCTCTCTCTCTCTCAGGGCAGGTGAGAAGGCAGGGAAGGGAAGTGAGTCAGGAGGCCAGGAGCCCCCAGACCCTCAGAGGGCCAGCTGCTGTGCTCCCCCTGCAGCTTCAGGGTGGGGAGGAACAGGAAGCTGCCAGAAGCTGCCCCCAGGGGAACAAATATTTGCCAAGGGAGGTGATGGTGGGTGAGGGCGCCTCAAGACCGAGTGGCAGTGAGGACCTTGCCCCGGCCCTGCCCATCCCTCTCCTCCCCTGGGCTGGAACAGAGGGAGGCAATTCCTGGGACATTTCTCCCTCACCCTTGGAAAAGCTCTCCACTAGTTCCCACGTAGCAGATGGGGAAACTGAGCCCAAGAGGGGCACAGCTCCCAGAGCAAGGGGACCACGGGTCTGCTGGCATCCAGGGCGGGGACGCCTGCTTGTCCCTCATCTCTCTGCTCTGACCCTCTCGACAGCCCACTGCACAGCTGAGGCCACCAAGGCTCCGCCCAGGGTCCCAGAGAATTAAGGCAAGCTCGGTGGGAAGCCAGCATCTCACCAGCTGAGAGGAGGGGCGCAGGGACCTCTCACCACACGCCCTCCCCAATACCCTGATGACACTTGAATCTGGGAAGCCAGGGTTTAAAAGCATTTAACAGCTGCCCCGGGAAGGTCACAAGGGCCAGATCTCTCGTGCCTCAGTTTCCTAATCTGTGAAACGGGTGGTCGGAGAGCCACAAGAACATCCACCTCAGAGGGTTGTGGCAAAGATCCAATTCAGCCACCCCTGTGGCATGTGGCACAGTGCCCACGATAGACCTTGGCCAAGTTACTTGACCCTTCTGAGCCTCAGCTTTCCCGTCCGTAACCAGGAGCATGAGAAGGGAATTACCTCACTGACCTGGGAAGAGGACCTCGTGAAAGAAATAACAAATAAATTCCACCGTGGGGATGTATCGTAATGCTTAGTGTTCTCATTAGTTCGTCCTCCCCTGACTCACTCCTCCTTCCCACCAAACCGCGACTGGGGACAGTGGTTGCGCCCATTTGCCAGATGAGAACACAGAGGGTTCCGAGAAGGCAGATCTCTGCTCAGCTCTCCCCATTAGTGGGTCATGCCAGGGTTTGCTCCCAGAGTGCTTCTCTCTTGGGGTCCCTGCCCGAAACCACCCAGCGCTCCCCTGCCCGGCACGCAGTAGGGCTATAGGGAATGGTCGCTGGGATCGGGAACTCGGGTGGGTGTTGCGCTTCCCCCACCCCCAGCCCCGGCGTGGGGCCCAGCACATAGTAGACCCTCAGCTGCCCCATCCTCTTCCTCTTGTTTATCAGAGGCCCACCACCAGCTCTCACCTCGCTGTCCCCGTCGCTGGAGCCTGACAGCTGGGACAGGCGGCTCAGGTCCCACAGGGAACGGCTGGGCCGGGCCGGGGGGCCGCTGGGGGTCTGGACGCGCTGGACACTCCTCAGGACGTCGCTCAGCGCCGGCCCTGGGGCGGCCGGGGTCTCCTGCCTGTCCCCCTCAAACACCCGGCAGGCGGCCAAGCGTTGGGCCAGTGGACCGTCGGGTGGCGGCGGTGACATGGGGGCCACAGAGCGGCGGCGGGCCACGCGGTGGGGGTTGTGAGCCAGCCGCAGCCCCCCCACGGTGCTGATGAAGGGGCGCTGGGTGGGCGCGGCCGGGAGCGGCCAGGAGGCCGCGTACAGTGTCCGGAACTCTCGGCTGAAGGCGTCAGCAATCTCACCGGTCAGCAGGGTCACCAGGCCACGGTGCAGACGAGAGTCACTCCACGTGAAGCTGGGGGGCATGCAGTGAGGGGTCAGGATCTCCGGGTCACCCCTGGGGTGCCCGGTCTCGACCCCATTACTGGTCCCCACCCAGTCCCAGGGCAGGCTGTGTGACCTCGGGCATGTGCTGCAACCTCTCTGGCTTCCGCATCCCCCTCTGTAGAATGGGAACCCCCCAGGTACGAACCCAGAGGACTAAGGTGACAACAAGAGTTAAGATACCTTAATGATCATCTGGAAGCCAGCCTGAGCTTAAACTGGGACGCTGCCCCATCCCCAGCAAAGGAGGCCATTAGTGCCTCAGTTTCCCTCTCTGAGAAGAGGTGCGATTAGTCTTCTGACTAAATGGCCGCGAGGCCCGTCTTCAGACTGGGCTGCTCCTTACATAATGACAGCCTCTATTAACACTTGCATGAGGGGCGCCTGGGTGGCTCAGTCGGTTAAGCAGCTGCCTTCAGCTCAGGTCATGATCCCAGCGTCCTGGGATCGAGTCCCGCATCAGGCTCCTTGCTCATCAGGGAGCCTGCTTCTCCCTCTGCCTCTGCCTGCCATTCTGTCTGCCTGTGCTTGCTCTCTCTCCCTCTCTCTCTCTGACAAATAATTAAAAATAAAAATAAAAAAAAATCTTTAAACACTTGCATGAGGTAGGCCCCGGGGGTGTGGGCTCCGTGCCTCAGTTTGCATCTGGGATACGGAGCGAAGATGTAGGAAGATTGGAAAGAAAGAACAAGGGGTTGAGCTGCCTGTATGGTGCCCAGCCCGCGCCCAGCTGGCTATGATGGGCAGGTCCCCTACTGTCCCTGTGGTCACAGTGCTGGTATTTAAAGCACCAGGCTTTAAGGTCTAGGCACACAGCAGGTGCCTTTGGGAATTAAATGCACCTGGGCTCTAATCCTGCCTCCAGGGACCTCAGCCACATTCCCTTCATTTCCCAAGCTTTGGTTTGCCCATCGGAAAAACGGGCTCACCACGGGTCGTGTGCCCCAGTGGGCCCGGTGCCCGGAGAACAGATGTGTCAGCCACAGGGATGGCGAGGGTTAGTCCAAGCGTCCTTACCTTGGCAGAGTGGCCGTGTCCTCGCTCCCTGGCAGGTTGGCAGGCCCGTCTGCCTGCAGATTGTGACACCCCTCCCCCCACCTGTGACCTCACCCCTGGAGGGGCCAGTGGGAGCCTGGAGGGGTCTGTGAGGTCACCCCATTCCGCTCCACAAAGAGTGCCGTCAGATAGCGGCCGCTGGCTTGTCTCTGTCCCGGGAAAGCTTCTGAGACCCAAGGACTCGTGAGCCGCGGTCACGACGGAGCCCCTGAGAGGGACACGGAGTGCTGGGAAACAAGGACCCTCTGTGCGCTGACCCGGGAGGCCCAGACCAGGGGCAAAAGTCTCGAGGGCCTCAGGAGCATCATCCAGCAGTTCCGGGAGGCCCAGGAAGCCCACGGCCTGGCTTGGGCACCGTCACTGCCGCCAGGCCACCATGGGCCTCGGCTGGCTGCTGCTTCTGGTAATGGCTCTGCCCCCGGGCACCACAGGTGCCAAGGACTGTGTGTTCTGTGAGCTGACCGACTCCAAGCAGTGTCCCAGCATCCACATGCGCTGTGGCGACGATGAGGACTGCTTCACGGGCTTCGGGGTGGCCCCGGGCCTTGGCCCTATCATCAACAAAGGCTGCATACTGTCCACATCCTGCGGCCACGAGGAGCCTGTCACCTACATGGGCGTCACCTACTCGCTCACCTCCACCTGCTGCTACGGCCACATGTGTAACAGGGCCCCCAATCCCGCAGGTGGCCGGACGGAAGGGGTTGCCGCCGGCCTGGCTCTGGGCGTGCTGCTGCTGCTGCTCCCACATTTGCTTTGACCAACCCGAAGGGCAGGGCCTGGGACTGGTCTCCCGGCTCCGCTGCTCCCCGAGCCCCCCGCCTCCACCCCATCCCCCCCATTAAATGGCCAGAGGCCCTGGACAACCTCGTGTGGCCCCGGCTTCATCCATTACCAGGGCTGTCCACCCAGAGCCCGGGGCGAAGCATCCTCAGGCCACTGAGCACGGCCCGGAGGGTTTGGCTGGACCCCTCGACTGTATTTCATGGGTTCTAAGATGCGTAACTTTTCCCATGTCGATCGGGATGCTTCTTTTTGTCGGGGGCACCTTAGAGTCGATGAAATATGGTTCAAATGAACAACGACAATAAACAACCGCTAACGTTCACGGAGCGCTGCTTCTGTTACGTGCCAGGGCACCTTGATCTCGCTTGAACCCCCGGACAAAGCCGGGAGGGAAGGCAGGTGCTTTCTGAGACAGCCCCGGTCTCCAGGGTAGCGGTTCCCCCGAGGGTGGTCCCCGGAGCGGCAGCACTGGGGTTGGGCAGGGAGCTCGCGGGAAATGCCCATTCCCAGGGGGTGGGGCTGCGAAGGCGCCCCAGATCTGTGTTTTTAGGGAGTCCTCCGGGTGATCCGAACACAGGCAGGCCCCAGATTGAAAACCGCCAGTGGAGAGCGCTGGTCATCCGCTGGGCACATCAGCACCCCCCGCAGGGGACAGCTGGCAATGTCTGGAGACACTTTTGGTGGTCTTAATAGGGGAAGGGGCGTGCTCCCGACATCTACAGGGTGGAGGCCGGAAATTCAGTGCAGCCCCCAACGATGCCCAAGGAAGTACCCCCAACACAGAATTATCTGGCCCCAAATGTGAGGAAACCCTGTTCTAGAGGGACTAACCGTACCATCCCGATCTGTAGAAGGGGAAGGGAGGCACAGAGAGGTGAGGTCAGTTGCCCAAAATCACACAGCCAGGAGCTGGCAGAGCCCCAGTTCGAAGCCAGGCCACCCGACCTGAGGGTCCACGCACCCCGTTCCCTGCTACGCGACCACCCTATGAGGCAGGTGCTGTTATTAATCCACACTTTCCAGATGGGGAAACAGATACGGAGCAGGGGGAGGCACCGAGCCGGTGTGTCACAGAGCTAAGAAGACAAGGAGCCAGGAGCTAGACCCCAAACACAGGGAAAGGGGGACGCGAGCCAGGATGAGGGTCGGGTCCCTTGCTTACCAATTCTTATTTTGTTACAGATGCTTAGAGAGATAGAGTTACCTCAAGGCAGAGCTAGGACTCCCATCCAGGTTGTCCTGGTTTTGAAACCCACACATAAACTATGGGCCCTGTTTTCCAGATGAGGAGACACAGTGTCGAAGAGATGACCCTCCCCCCAGCCTCTCCCCAGCCCCGGCCCGGTCACTAGGCTGGCCAGCGGGAGGAGCCACTGCCAGACCCCCATCCCCCGCTACCCTGGGCAGGTCTGGCTCGACCCCACGTGGGTTCTGCCCCTTGGTATGCCCATCCTCTACCAGTGAGGGTGCTTAGACCCATTTCACAGACCAGGAAAGTGAGGCTGGTGGAAAGGGGTGCCAGCTACTCTCTGAGAGTTGGGGACAGGACACCACCGGGTGGTGGTTGTGGTGGTGGGGGGCAGCCGCACCTGTAGGATCCAGAGATGACCCTGTGGCCGTCCAGCAGCACAAACTTCTCCCGTACATTGCCGCTCACCTGCCGTCGCCAGCGGCTCTGGAAACTGCAGCCCCACACGACACGGATATCTAGGTTCTGGAGTGGAGGGGGTACACCCTCACTCAGGCCAACCCCGCACACCCCCACTCACTGCCTAGGGCTCAGGTCAAGGGGGGGATCCCTCCAGGCTGGCTAGGACCTGGGTGGCCCATGGCTCTGTAGAAAGGTCTGTCCCAGCTTTTCCAGAGCTACCAATATTGGGTTTCGGGGATCTCTTGGAGATAGCCCTAACTCAGAGGGACCCTGTGGGAAGACCAGCCTCTAATTTCCCCAACGCGATGGGTGGGCATCGGTACTCTCCTCGGGCATCCACCTCGATGAGCTAGGACGCCGTGGAAGGGTCTGCCCCCCCACCCCCGCCACCGGCTGGCCCTAGCGTCAGGAGAATGGGGACTCAGGTCCCTCCCGCCAGGCTCCTACCTCGGTGCCCCAGGGGTTCACCCCCAGCTGCTGGGCCAGTGTCAGGAAGGCAGGCAGCCGCTGGTGGTCCAGAAGCAGGTAGACAGGCACCCAGCGACGTGTGGCGGCGTCTACCAGGTCCAGAAGCAGGTCTGGGTCAGTGAAGATGTCCATGACCACGGCCACTAGCTGGGGAGTGGGGAGAGGGGCTGTGGATGGAGCTTGGAGCTCCGGAGATGTTCAGGGGGTAGGGGGGACCCTGGGGGCTGAGGCGTCCTGGGCATGGGAGTTTAAAGGCCTGGCCTCGACGAGACGTTCAGAGGGGCTGTGGGAGAGACCCCCCACTGTGCATACAGCGCCCGCATGGGAATGAGGAAAAGACCATCCTTCCCGAAGACCAAGGTCTCTACTTCTGGAAAATTCATCATAATCGTGTCTGCAGTGGCACACGGTGCTCCGTGTGCTGTGACACTGGATGGTGGCCCTGCTCCAGGGCTCAGTGGGCTGGGTCCTTGGGGGTGCCCTGAAGGGGGAGGAGGGATGATCTGCTTGGCCACCCAGGGGATCTCTGGGGACCAGGGCAGGGGACACTGAGGGCCTGGATCTTGCAGGCAGAAACATGTAGCAGAGAGGACTCCTGACCCATGGGCCAGACAGCCTTGGTTCAAATCCCCACTCGGCCACTTACCGGTGAGAGACTTAACCTCCTGTGCCTCAGTTTCCCCATCTCTCCTCACTTGGGATAATAAGTCCCAACCTCCCAGGACCCTCCTGGTGATTATAAATGTTAACCCACGTAAGGCACTTAGCGTGGGAGCTGGCAGGCACAACGCTGTTAGATAAAGAAGAGGCTCTCCGGGGGGCTGTAGGGGAGACATCTGGGCCCTCTGTGGGAGGAAGGATGGACACCTATCCTAAGGGTGGGGTGGGGTGCAGTGGGGTGGGTGACTGAAACCAAGGGATCATAATTAGGTCCAAGGGGCATGAATGCCCCGGGGGACCCAGGCCTTGGAGAGAGGGTAAGGAGGAGGTCTGGGGAATGTGGACACTTGGGTCCTGGGGGATGCGAGGCGTGGACTCGTGAGTCCCAGGAGGGCAAGGGTGAGACGCCCAGGGCTCGAGGGGATGCGCCACTCCCAGGTCTGAGAGCTGGCATGTGAGGATGTCTGGGTCTGGGGAGTGGACACCAGGCCCCCTGAGACCCCCACCTTGCAGGCAGCCTGGATTTCCCGGCGCACCAGCTCCTTGAGGGGCGGGTGGCCCTCTTCGGGGGGCTGAGTGTACAGCTGAGCCCGGGTGATTCCCTTCCAGGCCAGGTCCTCTGGCCAGCCCAGGCGCAGCGTGGGCACCAGCTCCTCTGAATGTCCTGGCCAGTAGGTCAGGCTGCCCGAGTCCCGATCGGTGGCAGGGGCTCCCTCTGCCGCCCGGCCAGGCGGCTGCTTGGATGCAGTCCAGTCCTCGGCCGCCGCCACCAGGCTCTGGAGCTCTTCCCCGCTCAGGAAGGGCCGCAGCCCCTCGCGCTGCCTGCGGGCCTCGAACGCCTCCACACCCTCGCTCAGCAGAGCCTCCAGCGCCAGCCGCTGGCCCTCAGAATACAGGAAGCCGGGGCTGGCCTCTGTCAAGGGCGGTGCCCCTGCCCCGGACTCCTCTCCTTCCAGCGCCGCCAACTGCGATGCTGCCATTGGGCTGCTCGTGCGGGAGGACCGTGAGGCCGGCTGGCTGAGGGTTCGGCCGTCTCTGGACACCAACCATCTGGGGGTCTCCTGCCAGGTAGATGTTATGTGGCCGGCTGAGGCTTCCAGGGTCGCTCCGTTAAGTCCCCTGCGTCCCCAGCTCCCCGTCCTGATGATCACACAGCTCAGGGCATGCGCTGCTCAGATCAGACTGACTAGTCGCCTGCCTCCAGCCGCCACAGTGACAGGCTGGCCATCTGAACTTCTACCAGCTGTCTCGGGGTCTAGAGGCCCCAACGGACCCGTTCGCTGGATCAGTCTCCGTCAGGCCGAAGGGCCAGCTGGCCTGACCAGAGGTCTGGCTGAGCGGCCAGCCATCTCCAGGCAACAGCCGCAGGCTGCCCGCCTGTCTCTAGCACCCGACGGTCCCTGACTGAAGGTGAAGTGGGCTGCCTCTCTGCCCTTGACCGATAGATACCACGTGTAACTGACCCTGTCCAGCTGGTCTTTTTGATTATTTGGCAAACACCAACTGCTTTCTGCTAGCAGTGCTGGTACCTAGCCGCCCGGCGGAGCACCCTGCCGTGTCCAGCGGAATGTCTTTCCTGACGACAGGTGGCTGGCTCACTGGCTCTCACTGACCATCCCAGGCACCTCCCCTTTGGACCTGCTCTCTCGGTTTGGGAGGAACGGGCTCTAGCCCTAAGTCTGGGCATCCCCCTTCACCAGAAATGAGGTCTCGGTCTCTGTCGCTTGGGGACCCCTGGGGCGTCACCCCTACTTGGGCTGCTCCGGTGGAGGATACACTCAATGGGGGCTTGCACCACCATGGGACCTGCCCATGACCTCAGCGGCCCTTCTAGCTGGAGGGCCTGACTTGCCCCTCTTCCTTGGACTGGCCGCCCCCGCCAGTCTCCCAGCCAGAATTATCTTGGGCTGTCCTCTGATCTACGCTGATGCCTGGCGGAGCTGAGCTGTCTGGGTTTCTGCCTGAATCCCACGATCTCCTGCTAGCTGACCATCCACCTGTTCCTGGCCAAGGACCACCTTGGAGGCTCCTGACCCAACCTCTGGCCTGTGGACCCGATCCCCACAAACCAGCAGCCCCTCCTTCCAATCGCACACCCAGGCAGCTTCCTTCCTCCACACCACAGCGAAAAGGCCTACAAAGAGAAGAGGAATAAAAGCAGGACTCCCTCTCAGCCCATCCAGCTCCAACATTTCCGTCCTCCATCCCCTTTCCCTCGTCTTGCCTTTTCAGAGGTCAGAATACGGGGGCCTGGAGACCTCCTGCTCTTATTTCTTCTGTTCTTCCTGCGTCTGGCCTCATTCTCAGGTTTTAGCCTGGGATCCGGGGAACCCAGCCCCTTGTGTAAACAGAGGAGGGCCTCCTGTGCAGGTACGGGAAGGCCCTAACACAGGGAACACAATCGTCAGGTTACTGGCCCAGGGCCCAATGGCCTGCCAGACTCAAGGGGGGAAAAGGGGAGCAACTCACCTGTTCCCATGTACCCCTCCCCCACCAGTCCCAACCCCTCTGTACTTCCCGGCCCATGCCCCGCCCACCATCCCTAGCCCACAGCAGCAGGTGTAGCTAATCCGGGCGAGGTAACAGGTTCGGAAACACCTGTCACCTAGCTTATTAAGGGGGCGGGACTTTGGCCGTAAGGAGGCCCTAGAGTGTCCCACAGCGCAAGATCGACAAGCACGCATCATAGCCACAAGAGGGCGTCTGCAGGGAGAGCGGGACTCCGCTCAGCAGACGGAAGGGCTTCTCCTTGGCTGGTTGGTCTCCATGGAGATGGGCACCCACTCGGTCCACCCCGAAGGCTCCAATCCGCTCCCATTCACTCCAATCCCCTACCGTCCCCCAGAAACACACAGAGGACCATCAGAATTCAAAATCTTTAATAACAACGCAGGATCTGGGGTTAGTTTTTGTAGCCTCGGCTGGCCCTCCGGCCTCTGGCGCGCTCGAACTTCCGGCCCTTGGATCTCACGTAGGGTCTGCGGGGAGGGAAAAGAGGGTGAGAGTGCGGCCCCGCTGGGCTCGAACGCTGAGGAAGCCCTGAGCAGCGCGTGGCTCGCTCTCACAGAGCAGCACAGGGACATCAGAAGGAGCGGGGAAGGGACACTGAGCAGGTTGCTGGAAAAGCCGAGCAGGGCAAGAAGGAGCGGGGAGACGCAGACTCCAGCCTGGCACAGCCCCCAACGCTGCGCTTCTAGGGCTGGCCGGGCAGAGTTCTCAGCAACGGGGAGTAACAGCTTGAGGACAAAGTGGGGAAAACGAGGTGGGGGAGTTCCCGGGAGGGCTGCAGCTGGACCGGGGTGAGAAACAGAAGGGACCGGAAGCATGGCAAGGCCCAGACAGCAGGGCTGGGTGTACTCACTTGGTGTGGCTATGTGGGGTTCCGGGAGCCTTGCCAAAATGCCTGTACACCTCTCGGCCCTTGCGTGGCCCTGGGAGGGGAAGATGGGATCAGCCAGGGACCCAAATGCAAGAAGTCGCCATGGGAGCCACTGAACATCACTCACCAGACAGCAAGACGGTGCCACAGCCCTTGGGGGAGTCCAGGGCCAACTGGTCAAAGGTGAGGATCTTGCCTCCAGCTTTGAGGATGCGGCTCCGGGCACGGCTGCTCACACGCAGCGCGCACACCTGGGGGACACACGGGACAGGCACGGTCAGAACCCCCACCCCGTACAGCCACCCAGGGACTGCGGGGCCTTCTTCTCCACGGCTCTGGCCCAGCAGAGGCATCTAGATGCTTGCGGAGCCCAGTAAGACCGCCACGAGGGAAAGCTTCCCTAGTTAAGACAACAGCAATTCTTAACAGTTTACGTCCAAAACCTCCCTTAAGACCACAACAACCTGAACTTATTACGGATAAGGAAACAGAAATTAAAAAGACCCAGGCCACCGAGTGGCCAAGAAATCTAGATGTGAAGCCAGGCTGTAAGGCTTAAGCACCAGCAAGCACCATTAGGGAGGGACCCAGAAGGCTCTTGCCCGGGGACACCCACCATGGCTAATGCCAAGGACAATCCCCCTTCAATCCTAAAAGCCACCCAGACCAGTAGGTGTGACGCCTGCCTCACCCAGAGAAGAGAGGGGACTGGGAAGGCATCACAAGCCTCGTGGCACCGGTGACAGATCATCAGCAGAGCGAGGACACGAGCCAGGTCTGGGCGCCAGCCCACCCACCATGACCCCGCGCCCCCTCCACACTCACCTTCAGTTTGGGCACCTCCTGGACCCGCACGTCGTCGGTTATGGTCCCTACAACCACAGCGGTTTTGTTTTCCCGGCCGGGCAGCTTCATCTTCCGGATCTTTGGTGGGGGAGGACAAACGCACACTGAGGAAGCTCCTTCTGGCGTTTAAATCCAACCCCACTGGACACGCATCCCGAGGACAGAGACTGTTGGGCCCTGAAGGGGATAAAGCCACCCGCGCCTCGCCTCTCAGCCAGCAGAGGCCTGACCTCAGGTCCAGCCAGGGAAAAACCCTGGAGACACAATGCAAGCACAGAGCCTTCAACAGAGCTCTCCTTCGAGAGCGCTTGGGACATGTAAGGCCTGACCCACAGGGCGAAGCCACCGCGGCCACCCCCACTTCACAATGAGACGAGCCCAAGCCACTCACAGACCCACCGCTGTTCAGCTACAACCCCAGGGCCAAGGGTGTGCCCACCACGGGGTGAAGTCAACCAGCTGACGGCCAGGCCCCCAACCGCCCCCACCCCAGCTCTAAGACATAATCCGGTCGTTCCCCAAATCAGCCCCTCACCATCCGGGACAGGGACAGAGGCGGCCGGTTGGTGCGACTCATGAACAACCTCTTCAACACGACTTGGTTAAAGGTGGAGTTGGTTCGTCTGGCCAGAAACCTGTACAACTGGAGGAGCGAGAAAGAATGGAAACCCAGGGTGGCTCACATACCCCCCAACCTTCAACCGAAAGACAAAACAGCATGGTTTGGCCTGACGAGGTTTTTACGTCTTTTCCCCCGCCCCACTGAGCCCAAGGGAGCCCCCCAAACCCCTCCCCACTCCCCAGAGGCTGAAAACGCTGAACCCCAGAAGCCTTGGGCAGAACCACGGATGCGCGCCTGCCCCGCAGGGCCCGGGAACGGCCTGGGGCCCCGAATGCTGGTCCTGGAAGCTGCAGTTCTGGGCAGCCCTGCCTAAGGCTCTCAGGCCTCAGCCTCACCTTGACCAACAGCCTCAGGTAGATGTCCTGGCTCTTGGGCTCTTTGCGCCGAACCTTTCGGTCCTTGTTGTGACGGATGTCGACCCCCTGCAGAGTTAAGGAGAGACCACGGACCCACACCTGACCTAGCAGCTCACTCACCGCCGCAGAACGACTGCATTACCCATCCCCGAGGAAGAGCCGGGGCCCCGGTCTCTGAAGGGACAACAAACCCCGGGCCCACCCCGAGGAGACCTGAAAAAGATCTTGAGCCTCAAATGACCCCAACTTAAAAAAATATATAGGAATGCTACACGCAAAGCCTTCGGCAGACGGCACACGGCACCCTGAAAAGCTTTAACAGAGAAGATGCGTCGACTCAGAAATTTTCACTGTTTAGAAGGTGTGTTTGCCGGTAATAGAGGCCAAGGACGGACCCTCCCTAAAAATACAGCAAAGAACCTTTATTTGCAACTTACTCCATGCAGAACTAGCACCAGAACCTCCCGCGCACAACCTGCCTGACCCCAGCAGCCTTATGCAGCCGTTTCCCACTTGCGCTGAGAAAACCGAAGAGGAAGCCACGGTTTCCCCCAGACCCCGGCTGCTGTCCTGAGGGTCTCTAACAGGCCGTGCCAGGAGCTGTGAAGAACTACGGCATTATTCCTAGCTCCCTCTTCTCCAACACTTCACGCACGCAGTAACCTTTGATGCGTGCTTCCTACGACTTCTTCCCAAACGCACATCCGCGACGCGCGACAGACCGAGTTACTGGGGTCACAGCCAAGAAAAAGCAAGATCACAGGCTGGACGGGGAGCACGGCTGCAAAACCGGGGCACTGGACGGTGGCCAGCTCTCCCCACCCCACCCCACCCCCGCCCCGCCCAGAACCCAACGTTCCAGGCCAGGGGAGCGACAGGTCGGGGTGGAGAAGACAAAAAGACAAGAGGTCAAGCATGCATGTGGGTCCTACGCCAGGGTCCGAATGCCGGCTCTGCCACTTCCTGGCATTGCGACCCCGGTCACATCACTTAACCTCCTTGCGCCTCCATTTGGTCATCTACTCAATTGGAGCTTTAATAATAAATGAGGACGGGAGGGGCCGGAGGCCGGTAAGTCTGACCCATCCCTGGTCTTCGAGCTCCCAAAATAATCCCCCCCCCACCGCGGGAGTCTCCCCCTTCGAACTGCCCTGACATCTCTGCACCCCTCCTGGACTCCCCCAGCCTAAGACCGCGACGGATGGCGGCGGATAGTCGAACCGGGAGCATCTCAAAGCACACTCACCATGATGGCGCCTCCTGCTTAGCCAGGTCCGGAAAGAGAGAACACTATCGGGGTGGGCGGGGAAAGCCTTCAGCAAGTGGCGCCTACGTGACGTCACAGGCGCGACGCGGCGCTCTACTCGAGTCGGGCCTCTCTATGGCGAATCACAGAGTGACCGAATGGGCGATTCCGGAATAAGTGGACGAACAACCCACCGGGAACAAGCGCTACGTCAAGGACGGCGGGGAGGCGTGGGGTGTTGGGGGGAGGGGCCTCTCTGGCCCTACCCAACCCCTGCTCTCGATAGTCTTCCGGAAGAAAGGGTTCTGGGAGCTAGAGAGATGTCGCGCGGCGCTGGGAGGTCGCGTCTCACGGTGACGCTCTGGCCCGACGCGGCCGGCCTCTCTGTGGCTCCTGGAGGACCCGGCCAGCCGCGTATTGGAGGTGAGGAGGCGGAGCTGGCGGGGCCTGTCAGGACCTCGGGAAACCTCTGACCCCACGCTTCAGGCATTTCCTTATCAGACTCACCTCTCTTATCTCCTGCGGCGCTTCCGAGGCGCAGCCGCTGCTCGGGAAGTCCTACCTGAGATCTAACCCGAAATCTTCTTGCTGCAGCCCAGTCTAGAGCATCTCCTATTTCCAATTTTTATATTCGTCTTTTACCCCTGCCCCTTCTCTGACCCCTCCCCAGCCTCTACCACTTTGGGGCTGCTTTTCCTTGCCGGCTCTCTTCGAGTGGTCCAACAGACTCTGTGTGAGGGCTTTGCACGGTATTGGAATGTGAAGGAGGCGCACTGAAGCCCCAGGCTTGGGGTGTGGGGTGGAGAGGGATTGGGTGAAAGCCTCCTGAAAGAAGGAGATAAAGATTCAGAGGGGAGGAGGATTGGAGGCCCTGAGGGGGAGTGGACAGAGACACAGAGTGAGGGAAATGGAGACTCAGGGGTTGACAGGGAGACCTAGAAAGTAAGGGAAGATGGAGATTCGGGGAGAAGCACAGACATAGATGGTGAGATGGGGTCTTGTCTGCTGTAACCAAATTCAAATCCTGGCCATGCTAAGTACTAACAACAGTGTGACCTTGGGCAAGTCACTTAACCTCTCTGTGCCTTACTTCTCTTATCCGCAAAAAGGGGATAATAGACTTGGCACATAGGGTATTTTCCAGCTTTACATAAGTTAATATAAATCCTCAGAACAATGCTTTGCATGTAAGTGCTCAATACAAATTAGCCTCCACTCCTTGTTAGCCCTTCTTGGGTAGGACCAGATGGACTGGCTGGAGCAGCTTGAAGCTGACCTGTCCCCTCTTTTTTCTTTCCTCAGGGAAGCCCTGCCCCTTTGGCCTCCCAGCACATCCAGCCCAGCCTACAGTCTGCCCCTGATGCTCCTACTTATTCACCTGTCCTCCACAGAACCAAAGGCCAAGCCCGGACCGTGAGGCCTCACTCCTTGCCCATACCACCCTCTCATGGCCTGCCGCCCAGGACCAGGGTCTTGCTGATGTGGTAACACAGCAAGGGCCAGCAGATGAATGGAAACCTTGAAGCAGAGGAGCAGCAGGACCAGGTAAGGGGTCCCTCTGAAGGTTAAGTTCACCACACCATGGGACACAATTTCCTCCTTGTCTCTGTTCCTTTGCCTTAGTGACTTGGTCCCTATCTTTGAGTCCCAGGCTCTTCGTCGGTCTGGTGGTGTGCCTGCTTTTCTTTCTCCCAAACTAAGGTGTGCGTTTCCCTGTCTCTCCTTCTTCCTGGGTTTCTGTCCCCATTCCACCCACCCCCCCCTTTCTGGGTATTTCTTTGGCATATATTATCGGGTACTGTTGCTACTCTGGGTTAAACAAGGTGTGTTGACAATAAAAGAAAGTCCTCCATTCATCGCTTTCTAGCAAACTCTGTCCTTGTCTCTTTCTGCATGTGTCTTTCTACGATTCTGTTTCTTGGTCTCCTGATACTATTCTCGCCTTGCTTTCTTTCCGCTTTCACTATGTCTTTCCCTCTCTGTGTCTTCCTGTCAACATTCTTGCTTTCTGTCTCCCAGGTTGCCTTCCTCTCAGGCTCTGGTCCTCCAGCATCGTCTTCCTCCCTCACTCCTAAGCTAGAAGTCTCTCTCAGATACTCTTCCTCCCCATCTCTCTCCTTGTTTCTCTGTCTTGCCATGTTACTGGGTCATTCGCTGGGCAGAAGTCCATGTCATGCTGCCTCCACTCTGGTTTGAGTCCAAGGTAAAGAATTGGTGAATAATGAGCCAGGAGTATCGGTCTCCATCTCTGTGTCCATCATTTTCTGGGTTTTCTTGTGTCCTTAACTTTGCATAGTCTCAATTCTATTGTCTTTGTCTCTTTGTATAGATCTCTGACTTCCTGTAACTATCTAAACAAACAGGCAGCACTCTCTAAGTCTCTTACTGCCTCTAACTCTGCTTTTCTGGGTCTCTTTTACTAACTCCATCTGCATAGCTCTGGGTCTTGGTTACCTGTGTTAGGATCCGCTGAAGATCTCCTCCCTCCTGCCTCTTTTCTTTCAAAAAACTCAATGGATGGGGCAGGGCTACCACTTGCCCTCCACAAAAATGGCGTCAGCAGCGCTGACTGTAGGATCGTGACGCCGCTTCTGCTGCGCGTGTGCCCTCACTTACTATGGCAGCCGATCTCGCGAAGCGCGATGCCCCGCCCAGTTCTCAAGCCCTCCCTCGGCTGGCCCCCTGCGCCAAGCTCGCGAGCTGGCCGGCCCCGCCCCTCGCGCGCCCTCACTGGCGCGGCTCACGCCGGCCGCGCGCCCATTGGCTGAGCGGATGCACACCCTCCCCCCCCACCCCTGGGTCTGATGGGGGCGGTTGGTGCTGACTTGAGGGGCCGCCTGGAGGAGGACTCGGCGTGTGAGGAGGGTGCGGGGGTAGGGTCAGGGACCCGAGTCTGGGGGACCGCGGGACCAAGAGGAACGGAGACGCAGGCCGGGACTGGGGTACCAGGGTGTGGGATGGAGATGGAGAACCAAAACCGGGACTGAGGGATCCAGGAATGGAAACCCAGGTCTGGGACTGGGTTCTGGAAATGGGGTGGGGATGCAGAACCCAAACCGGAGGAACCGGAAACAGAGACTCAGAATAATGGATTGGGGTTGGGGGGGACCTTTGGATGGAGACCCAGGCCCAGGTCTGGGGGACCAGGGTGGGTAGAGAGAATGGAGACCAGGCCAGAGACTTGAGGACCTAGGGACAGGCTCAGGCCCAGTACTGGAGGAGATCTAGGACTCTGTGTATCTAAGCCTGATTTGAGCTCAGGGATGGGGGCGCTGGTCAGTGCAAATTTAGGGGCGGGGCCGAGGGAGCTGCCCGGGGCAGGGGGCAGAGGTGACTCCTGAGGGTGAGTCCAGAGATCCGGGTGAGTCTGGGGCAGTACTGGGCCAGGGAAGGTGAGGGACAGGACTGGCAGCTGGCTGGGTGGGCGGGGTGGTGGGGAACAAAGGTGAGCAGGAAGGAGGCAGAAGCTGGGCAGAGGGCAGGGGGAAGGCCTCCCGGGAGGGGACCTCAGGCCCGGCTCCCACCCCTTCCCTGGAGAGCAGGCGGCCAGACGCCCAGGTCAGTGCTTGGGGTACTGCTCTTGGCCCCTGTCCCTCGCAGGCGCCTGCGTGTGACTCCTGTAACTCTACTTAGTTCCTCCATGTCACATCCCTTTCTTGATCTCTCCAGCTGTCTACGCCCCTCCCTCCTGCCCCTCCTTTCTGCTCTTTCTGTCCTTTGTCTTTCTGACCCTCAGAGGACCTCCTGGAGTCCCTAAACTCTGACTCTCCTAAGTATCTCTCCTCATCCTGGGTTTCATCTCATCAAAGCTGGTTGTTCCTCTTGGAGTTCCTCTGGCTCTTAGACTTCATCCCTCTCTCTGTGTCTGAATGTCTGTTTTGTGTAACGTTTTCCATCTGGAGATAACCGTATGTGTGTGTGTGTGTTGTGTTCTCTGTCTCTGCATATCTCCACTATCCAGCTCTCTCTCCTCTGCTTTCTACTTCTCCAAAGCCCTTATTATCCAACACACTATTTGACTTCTTTCTCTTTTCTGTCTTCCGGGAGAATATGAACCCACAAAGGCAGGGATTTTTGTCTGCTTTGTTCCCTGCTGTGTTTGCTGGGCCTAGCACTGTGATTGGCACATAGAGGGTAGTGAGTAATTATTTGGGGGATAAATGAATGTACATTTGCATGCCTGGCTGTCCACCCTCCAGGATGCCAGCCTTCCTGTACAATGGGCTTCTGCCCTGTGTCCTCAGGGTCTCCCCACACTTGTCTGAGCCTGTCTGTCTCTGATGCTCCCATCTCGCCTGTCCCCGCCCCTTGTTGTCTCCTGTCCACAGGCCCTCCCTCTGCTTCTCTCTACCTGCCACAGGGGTCTTGGACTCTGACTCCTGCCCTCCTCCCTCCCCACAGAGGCCAGACCAGGAGCTGACCTGGAGCTGGGGCCACAGGCCTAGAAGCGCCCTGGACAGGGCCGAGGCCATGGCCCCCCCACCACCACTGCCATTGGCCGCAAGCACCCCGCTCCTGCATGGCGAGTTCGGCTCCTACCCGGCCCGGGGCTCCCGCCTGGCCCTCACTCTCACCCCGCAGGCCCTGCACATACAGCGGCTGCGCCCGAAGCCCGAAGCCCGCCCCCGGGGCGGCCTCGTCCCCCTGGCCGAGGTGTCAGGCTGTTGCACCCTGCGGAGCCGCAGCCCCACAGACCAGGCGGCCTACTTCTGCGTCTACACCTACCCGCAGGGCCGGCACGGGGGCCGCCTCGGGGGCCAGCGGAGAGCCGCCCGCACCTTTCGGGCCGACGGGGCAGCCACCTACGAGGAGAACCGCGCTGAGGCCCAGCGCTGGGCCATTGCGCTCATGTGTCTGCTCCGTGGACTGCCACTGCCGGGGGACAGGGGTGAGGCACTACACAGCCGCTCTCCCCTAGGGCCACCCCGGCGTCTGTGTGGATTTCCCTGTGTGGACACCTCTGTCTCTTCTCTCCTGTGTGTCTGTCTGTGGCTTGTCTCTCTCAGTCCATATTGAAAGAGTGGTAGACGCACAGGGATGGGCTACAGAAGGAAGAGAAACCACAGGCAGAGAAGAATGATTGGTGTGGGCTACTCTCCTAGATTTTCCTCTCTGTCCCCTCCCCCGCTTCCACGGGCCCTGACCACACAGATGAGTCAGAGGCTCCCCGTCTGGTGAGAGCAGCAGACTGAGACACGATTAGTCACCACCCAGGGTGACAGGCCCCCACAGAAGTCCCCTAGGACGTCCCAGGAGCCCTGAGGCAGCATCTAATCCAGCCTGTGGTGCCGGGACAGGTAGTCGGAGAAGGCTCTTGCCGGAGCCCCACCCAGGTTCCTCAGTTGGCCCAAGAAGGTTAAGGTTCAAGGGTCCACATCTGGGGAGTCTTCCTTGGTCTTCCAGGATCCCGCTGGCTGGCTGGAGGCCCCACTGGTGACAGTGAGGGAGCCTTGCACAGGGTAGTAACCGGATCCTGGATTCCAGGAGTTTGAGGATAAAGAAAGTGGAACCCACAGCTTTCCTCCCTCCTGCTACCCGTGGGTTCAAAGGGCACTGGGATTAGCCTCCCAAGCCTTGCCTTTGTCTCGGCCCCTGGGAGAGGGGGGCGGGGCTGCACACTGGGAAGCCCAGGAGAAAAACAGTTCCCAGCAGGCGGCTGTGCCAGCCCTCCACTAGGGGCTGTTTGCACTTCCGCCTTCTGAGGTGAGGGGCCTGGGTCTGTGGCCTCTGTAGACTCCTTCCCCTCTCTTTGCAGAAATCACCCCCGAGCTGCTGCCGAAGCCACCCCGATTGCTCCTATTGGTCAATCCGTTTGGGGGGCGGGGTCTGGCCTGGCAGTGGTGTAAGAACCACGTGCTGCCCATGATTTCTGAAGCCGGGCTGTCCTTCAACCTCATCCGGACTGGTAAGGGCCATGGCAGGCTGGAAGTAGGGGCTCGGAGGGGGCTAGGGTCGTGGTGGCGGGGCAGAGTGGAACAGCCTGACTCACCTCCTGGTTCCCCACATCAGAACGGCAGAACCACGCCCGGGAGCTGGTGCAGGGGCTGAACCTGAGTGAGTGGGATGGCATCGTCACAGTCTCGGGAGACGGGCTGTTGTTCGAGGTAGGGCAGGGGCACCCTGCCTGAGCGCTGGGGGACGCTGGAGCCTGGCCCTGGGACCAGGACCCAAGTGGCCGCTGTCCCACCCTGTAGGTGCTGAACGGACTCCTAGACCGCCCTGACTGGGAAGAAGCTGTGAAGACACCCGTGGGCATCCTCCCCTGTGGCTCGGGCAACGCCCTGGCTGGAGCTGTGAACCAGCATGGGGGGTAGGTGGGGTCCTGCCTCCACCAGCCCAGCACTGCAAGGGGAGGGGTGAGCCCTCCCGCAACCTGGCACGTCTGTCCCTACATCTCCCCCAGGTGCTCTGTGGTCCGTCAGGTTGATCAGTCCTGGCTGGGATGCTCCCCACACTGCCCCTCTGCCCCAGACACGTCTGCCTGTCCGTTCCCAGCTGTGTCCCTTGTGCCCAGAACGGTGCCTGCCACACACAGGGACACTGAGCGAATGCTTCACAGATGAGGGAGCAGACAGGGAACCCGGCTCAGTAAGAAGAGTCCATCCAGAGGCAGCCACATGGTCCCCCTGCTGTCTGCGTGCCCACTTTCCGCGTCTTTCTCCGCCACCCTGTGCTCTGGGTCTCTCATGCCACCCCATTTACTCTTTCCCCGCCGGTGTTCGCCCGTCTCTGGCTGTGAAGGTTTGAACCTGCCCTGGGTGTCGACCTGCTGCTCAACTGCTCGCTGTTGCTGTGCCGGGGGGGCAGCCGCCCATTGGACCTGCTCTCGGTGACGCTGGCCTCAGGCTCCCGCTGTTTCTCCTTCCTGGCCGTTGCCTGGGGCTTCGTGTCAGACGTGGACATCCAGAGCGAGCGCTTCAGGGCCCTGGGAAGCGCCCGCTTCACACTGGGCACGGTGCTGGGCCTTGCCACCCTGCACACCTACCGCGGACGCCTCTCCTACCTCCCCGCTGCTGTAGAGCCTGCCTCTCCCGCCCCTGCCCGAGGCCTACCCCGTGCCAAGTCAGAGCTGACCCTGGCCCCTGCCCCGGCCCCAGCGCCAGCACCGGCCCCACCTGTGGCGCACTCACCCCTGCATCGCTCGGTGTCTGACCTGCCTCTGCCCCTGCCCCAGCCTGCCCTGACCTCGCCAGGCTCACCTGAGCCCCTGCCCATCCTGTCCCTCAATGGCGGGGGCCCAGAGTTGGCTGGGGACTGGGGTGGGGCTGGAGATGCCCCACTGTCCCCAGACCCGCTGCTGCCCTCACCACCTAGCTCCCCTAAGGCTTTACTGTCACCCGTCACAGAGGGGGTCCCAGAAACGACAGCCTCCTCTGGTCTCGCACCTCCCACCCCTGATGTCCCGGGAGCTGCCCCGGGAGCCACTTCTGCCAGGGGCCCACCTGACCACCTTCTCCCTCCTCTGGGCACCCCACTGCCCCCGGGCTGGGTGACACTGGAGGGCGACTTTGTACTCATGTTGGCCATCTCACCCAGCCACCTGGGGGCTGACCTGGTGGCAGCCCCCCATGCGCGCTTTGACGACGGCCTGGTGCACCTGTGCTGGGTGCGTGCTGGCATCTCGCGTGCGGCGCTACTGCGCCTTTTTCTGGCCATGGAGCGGGGCAGCCACTTCAGCCTGGGCTGTCCGCAGCTGGGCTATGCCGCGGCCCGTGCCTTCCGCCTCGAGCCTCTCACGCCTCGCGGCGTGCTCACTGTGGACGGAGAGCAGGTGGAGTATGGGCCGCTGCAGGCGCAGGTGCACCCAGGCCTCGGGACACTGCTCACTGGGCCTCCCGGCCGCCGCCGCAGTCGGGAGCCCTGAACCTAACGAAGCTTGCAGCCCGCCAGGGGCGGGGCCGACATTCCGAGGAGGCGGGGCCTGGCCTAGGGGCGTGGCCTAGCTGCTAGCGGCAGGGCGAAGGGCGCAGGCCCCATAGGCAGGAATCCCTGCCCCGTCTCAGGATTGCGCGCCCCCGGGGGACCAGAGGTAATGTTGGACGGAGTGTGGCCCTAACTCCAGGGGGTCGGTGTCATCCCGGTCACCGACTAACCGGCAGGCCCCGAGGGTAGTGCCTGACCAATGAGGGCGGGGCGCGGTCCAGACCCTCGCTTCCGGCTCGTGGGAGGCCAGGTCCGCTGAGGGCGGAGACTGTCTTACGCGTTGTCCAATGACGGGACCTGGCACGTACGGGCTGGGGAGGCCTTAGTTAATTGGCCAGTCAAGGCCCGGGTCTCGGTGCCTCCACTTAACTGGCCAATCAGCCCAGGAGGGGCAGGTTCCCCGGGGCGGACGCTCGGATTTGCACTAATGTTCCTCCCAGCGCACCCCTCCCCCGCCGGTGGGGGCGGGGAAACTCCTTTCTTCAGTCTTCTGTCTCTTGTGCGTCCCCCGACCCTCATCTTCAAAGCAATTGAAAAGGTCTATGCAATAAAGGCAGTCGCTTCATTCCTCTCAGACCGTCGCCCCTTCTGCATCCGGCAGCCCGTGGGGGGATCCAATTCTAGGCGCTTCCAGTAGCTCCTGCCTTCTATGGACCGAAGCCCAGACCTGCCCACAGACCGCGGCCAGTGTGACCCAATGGCCTTGAACTAGGGCCAGGAAGCTGCCTCCTCCCCCACAACAGCTGGCTCTGGGGTTCTCAAGATTTATTCAGGATGTGTTAACGGAGGCGGTGGGAGGATGGGGTCCCCGAAGTGGCAGGGGCACACACAGAGGACCCTCCCCGCCCCCGCGAGGGAGGGGGGGGAGGCTCGCTTTTTCTTAAAAATATAAATGTATTTATCTGCATCATCACGTCCCTGGGCACCCAGCTGGCCGGCCGGTGGGCCACAGGGCGGGGAGGGAAGAGGGTGTCAGGGCGCAAGTCTGAGTGAGGCCGCCGGGCAGGGGCGGGGGACAGCCTCACAGGGCTCCGTGCTGGGCCTGGTAGCGGGACAGCACGGCGCGGTAGTGGGACAGCTCCTGGCGCACAGCCACCACTTCCTGCCGCAGCAGGGCGTTCTCCTTCTCCAGGAAGGCCGCCCGTACTGATATCTGGTTCTCCTTGAGCCGCCGGGCATCTCGGGACCTCTTGGCTGCCTCGTTATTCTTGTACCGCCGGCTCCAATACTTCTCGTCCTGAGGGTGGGGTTTGAGAAGGCACTAAGGGCCAGGGGGAGCAGCCTTCCTTGTGCCTTCAAGGACCAGAGGGCAGCTAAGAGACCCTCTGGGATGCTTCCTGCCAGCAAGTGGGATCCAAAGGATACCAGGGCTCTCCGAGGATGGGTACCCAAGGGTCTGGTTGCTAAGGGGAGCAGGCCCCTAGCAACAGCTAAGGTGTGAGCTAGTTCTCCCCACTCCAAGCCACTGGGCTCCAAGTTTCCACTGTGCGAAGCGGACCCCACCACTCGGCTTGACAAAGGCCCTACCGTGAGCCCCTGGTTGCTAAGGATGCTTGTTCCCTGGCAACGGGGCCTTCAGGGTCTGAGGGCTTCTTCCAGTAAAAAGCACTGCTTAAATGTACCACCTTCTCAGATCCTGGTTGCTAAGGAAAGCCTAGGCTCCCTAGCAATGGGGTTTTGTGTCCCATAAATCCCAGAGCTGGGGCCTTTTGAGCTCGTTGTCAAGGCAACCCCATCCTTCCCCAGCAGTCTGAGTCGTTCCAGTAACTGCAGCTGTCTCTGACCCTCTGGCCTTTGATAGAGGCCAGAGAGCTGCCTTCTCCCCCACAGGTCCCAATTGCTAGAAGAGCTGTCCCTCGGCAAAGAAGCCTATCCTGAGACCTCCCCACACCATTACACTTAGAGTTCTCCAGTCCTAGAATCTGGCTGCGGAGGACGACCACTCCTTAGGAACGAGGGCCACCCAGAGGTCCACAAGATGCTCTCCTCCCACCCCCATGTCATTAAAGCCTAGTTCCCGCATACTAGGGCAAATCCAGTCCAGGCCCTGTGACAGGTCTAGACCACTGGTCTAGACTGGGTTTACAGGTCAGTCCTCAGTGTTTCAGGTAGTTATGGTGAAGTCCAGTGAGAGGAGCCCAGGCACCCCTTACTAGGGGAGACCCCAGAACTGGCAAAGCAGCAAGGAAAAAAAAAAAAAAAATTCACTGCCCAGATCAGAATGTGGCTCTGGCTGCTAATGGGAACTCAAGGCCTCTCATCAATGAGCAGCCGAGGCCCAGAAAACAAGGCCCAGGGCTGGCAAAGTCTGCATCCCAGGCAGATGGAAGCACCCTGCAGAATGCCCCAAAGCAGAGGTCAAAGGACCAGACCCAGCCCAGCTAGCGGCTCAGAAGAAACAGACTGATGCTACTGCTAAGAGATGCTGTCCTTAGCAACAGGGCCTGGTCAAAGCTCTAAGCCTGTAGGAGTGGGCCCAGCAGGGCTGGCTGAGTCTGCGTCCCACAACGATACCATCTTCGTAAATCTCAAGCCGAAACCTTGGTCTCCTTTGTGCCCCATGGCTGTGGACGACTGATGCTTGGCTGCAGGTTAAGAGAACCTGAGAGCTAACCGCAGTGAGAAGCCCAGGCCCGTCTGTGAAGAAAGGGCCATCCCTGGCTGTGGGACCTGTAGGGGCCATGCCTGCAGCCTACATCCGGCAGGGCTCACCTTCTGCTCCTCTGGCACCTGGATCTTCCGAGCCTTCTTCATGATGGGCTGGGGCTTCAGCTCCTCCTCTGAGAAGCGATGTCTCCGAGGATCAAAGGTCTCATGGCCGGGAATGCTTGACAGGGCTAAATCAGCTGGGTCAGGTTCAAATGTCATCAGCACCTCCACGGTGTCTGGGTCCACCGGGCTGGGTGTGTCCCGGGAGGTCAGGCCTTGGGGAAACAGAATGTGCTTCCTGAGTGTGTATTTACTTGGGGGATGGGGGGGTGGGGTTCACAAAGTACCCCCTGCTCAGGTATATCTTTGACCACAAGGAAGGCCCTAATGAGATCCACCACAAGGCCCGCCAGAGATCAACCTCTCTAATGTAAAACAGGAAGGTTCCAGAAGCTACAAAGGTGCTTAGACATCACGGAACCAATTCCACTTTCACAAACAGGGAAACAGGCCCAATGACAACTAACACGCCCTAAGTAACACACGAGTCTGTTCTATTGCTTCTGAAACCCCAGGCCTTCAGATTCGCAACGTTAGCTCCTTTCCCATTATCTAGCCTGAATCCAGCCTACCGAATCCCTGACCAAAGCCTAGACCCCAAGGCTGTTCAGAAGAAAAAAATCCAGTGCATTGAAAAGACTTCAGGTGCGCCGCTTAACAGCTAACAGGCCCAGACGGGTAAGGGAAGAAAAGCAGAAATGAATGAGGTTTGGGGGAGGCTGGTTCAAGGGACGGGGTACGGGCGGCCTGTGCCTTTAAGAGCGAGCTTGCCGGGGTCAGCTGAGGATACAGGTTCAGGGCCAGTCACGTGTGGGCGCCAGCTTTCCCGCCCCGCACCCCCCACCTCCCCACCCCCCGCCGCCGCCTTGGGCGCCCTCTAGTTCCCCAGGCCCCGCCCCCCTCCGCGTGACCGCGCGTGCGCGGAGTGAGGAGCAGGGAGGGAGGAGAGGACTCACGTGGCGCGGGAATGTGCGGCTGGGAAAGGGAGGGCCCCGGTTCTGCCCCGAGGTCCGGCCAGGGGCAGGTGTGTCCAGGAATTCCCAACCTGCAGTCTGCCCGTGGAGACCCCCAAGTGCCCGAGGAAACATACTTTTCCTTTTGCCCCCTGGGGTCTCTCAGCTCAAACCTCTCAAGCTCCAAAGATCCAGGCCCTCCTGGTGTCTGGGGAACACGGGCACAAACGGACCCCTGGACCTTCTCCCTCGCCATTGGGATACACATGATTCTGGGATCCCAAGCCCCTCCTCTCCCAGGAACATAGGAAGCTCTCGGTCCTCGCTGCAACAGAAGACCCAGAATGAAGATCCCCAACCTTTTCCCCTCTAGACGACTCCGGGACCCCGGGCCCTAGCTCCTCTTCACTGGAGGATCCAGCAGCTAGGGGTGCCAGTCTTTTATGTCCTGGTAAAACAGAAGTCTGTACCCAAACCTTGCTTTCTCCCCTATAGAGGGCCTAGAAGTTGCGGTCCTTCCCCAACTCCACCGACTCCGCGCCCAGATTCCGGAGCGCAGTTCACTCCCCAGCAAATAATTCCGGTGTTCTGGGATCCCAATCCCGGCTCCTCGAGTATCCGGACCCTCTCTCCCCACGTCCCACAGAAAAGTCCTCACTACCGCCCCACAGGAAAGGCTTCCTAGAATTTGAGATCCCAAGTCCTTCATCTCCAATGGATCCAGGAGACCCAGTCCCCGATGCATTACGGGACAAAGAATCCGGACTCCTCTCCCAACATCTCGCTCCTGCGTGGACCCAGCATTTGGGCGCACAATCCCAGCCCCACCGTCCCGGGCCCAAGTGCAGCACAGCCCTGCCCCTGAAGCCCAAGCCCCGCCCCGCCAGGGTCCTGCCCCGCCCCCGCCGTCGCACCTGCGCGGTGGCCGCCCGCGGCCCCGAGGGCAGCCCGGGTGGGGGCGTGCCCCGGGGAGGAACGAGGGGAAGCTGAGCCGCAGGAACCCGGCCCCGGGGAGGGTGCGGGCGTGCGCACGGGCGAGGGCGTCGGTGAAGGGCCGGCGGGGGGCGGCGGGCTGGGCGGGAGCCCGTGCTCCAGCAAGAAGGCGTCCAGGTCCACATACTCCACGTCGCCGAACGGCAGCGTCCGCTCCCACAGCAGCGGCGCCAACAGACCCGGGCCAGGCGCGGCCCCCGGGCGGCCCCGCGGGGACCCGCCGCCCACCACTGCCCCAGCTGGGGCATCCGCCGGGCTCGCCGTCTCCAGGCCGGGCCCGGGGACCGTGGCTGCCGGCGGAGCCGCCTTGCGCTCCTTTTCCTTCAGGAGACCTGCGGGCCAGGGAATGAGCGGGCGAGGTGGGAAGAAAGAGATGGACAAGAGACCCCAGGACAGAGATACACGAAGAAAGGGGAGATAGAGACCCACAGGGCAGAGATCCAGAGAAAGAGGGAACAGACGGGGGAGAGGGAGAGACAGGAGAGAAGGCAAGGACCCAAAGAGAAGAGACCCAGAGAGAGAAGACACAGACGTGGGCGGCACACACAGAGGGGGACAGAAACCGAGAGAGGGACAGAGACTCAGAAAGAGGGGAGGATAGGGACCCAGAGAGGGGTAGGACACAGACCAGGGAAGGGATAGATACACAGAAGGGGGACGGAAGTTCAGACAGAGGTAGGTGGAGGGTTGGGCAGGTGAGAGGAGAAAAAATGACAGTTCTGTAATTTCTCTGTAGCCTACCCCCTTGCTCACTGTGGCCTCTTCTCCCCACCCCCACACTATGTAAGGGGCAGGAAGGGGCTCTATTCCTGGGGCACATTCCTCATCCCTAGACTCCATGTGACCCCAGGAGGCCCCGCCCAAGCCCGTGTCACTACCGTGTGAGCATCCGACACACCCCCTCCCTCCTCCCTGGACCCCAGGGGTCCAGACGCTCAGGACCAAAGAATGCGGGGGGCTGGGGCCCAGACTCTCAGGTCCTCGGAGAGGAGGGCTCTGGGGGACTCCTGGGTCCTCCTCTTGGACGGGCTTGAGCGCAGGTACTTTTGGATCCTGGGTGCTGAGAGATCTAGGGACCTAAACACCTTAGTAACTGGGCAGATGACGGTTGGAAGATGGACTCCCGGCACGTAAGAGGCAGCCCCCCGCCCCAGCACTTGAATCCCTGAGAGAGTAGGGTGTCTGGGTTAGGATAGAGGGGGGCTAGAACTCACAGCTGGCTGGCTCTTTGGGTTTGCTGGTCCCCTGCAGAAGGCTCCGCAGCCCAAGCAGCGCTCCCCCGCCAGGGGGGGCCCCGGCTGGGCCGCCCAGCAGCAGGGGGGCCGGGGTCCTGTCGCTCACGGGCCGCGCCATCACCGGGCACCTGCCCGCAGGCTCACGGGCTCATGGAGAGGCGAAGAGCCGGCCTGCCAGTTAGCGGCACACTCCAGTGGTTCGGGCGAGTGCCTGCCCAGGGGCTGGCTAGCGTAGCTTGCAAGCCTCCAGTATCCAGAACACCGCAAATCCTAGGAGTGACGGGGATTTGCAGTCCTCAGTGCAGAAACGTGCAACTCAAGAGGGTCCCTGGAGACCATGCAGTCTGAGTGAGGGGTTGATCAAATCAGGCAGCCGGTTCTTTGCAGTCCAGAGTTCAAGGGGACACAAGGCGCTCCTTCTACACGGTGGGCAAGCCTGGCTCTAGCAAAATCTGCAGCTCTCTCAACGGAAGGCGCTCTGCAATCTGCACCAAGAGGTGTGCGCGGAGGGGCGGGGGAGGGGGCAAGAGGAGGCGGCCGCCTTGAGGCGTGGCCAATGCAAACTTCTTTCGCGGAAAAAAAAAAAAAAAAAAAAGCCAAACCAAAACACCCGACGCCACAGCGCGCACCCCTCCTCTCAGCCCCCGCCAGCTTCTTGGGCCGAGCACCCCAGCCGCGTGCCGCCCTCCGGCTGAAAGCGCGGGCCAATCGCGTCTTGACCCCTCGAGACGCACGGCCAATGGGACCCCTGGATCCGCCAAAGCCCGGGAGGGCGCGCGAGGGGTTCCGTGCGAGAAGTTGCCGTGCCTTTAGGTGGGAGGCGGGACCCTGACCTACATTTGCCCAATGGGAGACGGCACTGGGGGCGGGACCGTGACCCATTTCGGGCCAATGAGGCAGACGGGAGGGGGAAGCACATGGCTCTGCGCGTGCTGCCCGATGGGGAGGGTGAGTTGGGGGTGGTAGTAAAAGAGCCGCGGCTTAAAGGAGCCGCCAGTCTAAACGACGGTTTTGGGAAACCGGAAGCAAAAAAAAAAAAAAAAAAAAAAAAAACACGAGCAGTGCGGTTTAGGAAGACGGAGATTGGTTTCTAGAAGAAGGCTGCTGTTCTTCATGAACTACCCAAATGCTTCCCCGCCGCGCCTAGAATCAGACCACTAAGAAACAGGAAGTATTCTGTCCCTTTAATAGCTTTGTTTTGGGGGTGACTCCCCTCCCCGTGTTGGGAGGCTTGGAAAGGACAGGCACAATCCTCGATGGGGAGTCTCAGCGACCATGGGGGGCACCATCCACTGTAAGACAGACGACAGCGGTGGGGGAGCGTTAGTTTACGGCACGAGAGGTTGCACCCTGCAAGAGGGTTTGTGGGAGTCGGGGCCTGGGCCGCGGAGGGCTCTACCACGGAGGCTGCGAATGGGGAAGCCGGGATGTACCAGGTCGAGAAACTGGGGTAAACGGTCAGATTCTGGACCGGCACTGGTTTTAACCAGCAGGAGGCAGCAGGAGGGTGGAATAGGAGGGTGGACGTCCAGCTTCAGCATCAGACTGAACTACGCGAAGGTATTCATGGGGTGGGGGTGGGAGGGTCTGGGCCATACCACGTTGAGAAGCTAGCTGAGTGGCTGTGAGATCACAGGGTCGAAGCACCGGGAGGCAGTAGAAAGGGGAGGGGACCGTACCATGTTGATTTTCAGGAAGGGGTGTGTGTCAGATTATGGAACAGCCTGAGATTTGTACCACACCGAAACAGGGAAGGGATCCGGGCTGTACCATTTTGGAAAGCCGTCGTAATAAAAACCACGGCCCAGTGGGAAGCCAGGGAGCTCGGGTTATATACCAAGTTGCAAGTTGCAAACAGTGGAGAGGAAAGACAAATCACGGACCACCAATGGTCTCTGGCGTGGAGGTGGACTGTACCATGTTGACACATAGAGGGGAGAAAGAGCGAGTGCGAGCTCAGGAGGCTGGACCTTACAGAAACGGCAAAGGGGTGGGTAGGACTATATCATGTTGAGAAAAGAAGGGGACACACATAGGCGGGTTAGACCAAGACGTGGGGGGAGGGGTGCAGACCGGACCATACCATGCAGGCGGTAGTTGGGGCCTCGGCAGCGCCTCTCGGGGTGCCGCGGGTCCCTGTTGCCCCTCAAAGCCCTGTGGGCCAAGGGCTGCAGGGGCCGGCCGTTACCGCTGAGGCTCTGGAAGATCTGGGACGGAGGATTCTGGCTCAGGAGTCTCAGGGAGTGCATCTGCCGCGGAAGGGGGTGGGAAACTGAGAGTGAACGGTGAGCGGTCGCGGTGAATGGCCACAGAGGAAGCCCCGCCCCTGGGGCAGGTAGGCGGGGTCTTACTCCGCCCGGGAGAAAAGTAAGGAGGAAGGAGGGTAGGAGAGGCCAAGAGCGATGCCCAGGCCAAGGAATGGGTTAGCCGGGCTGGAGGGGGCAGACAGAAGTCACCTGGAGGGAGGTGATATTGAGGGCCCGGTCAATGAGGATCCAGGTGACAGTCTCTGAGCAGGGCGGGGTGCTGAGGGAGCCCTGATAAGTGATGAAGCCGAAGGATTCGGGGAACAGGAGCTCCAGGCTCAGGTCTTGAAGAAAGTAGGCATCATCTGCAGCAATACCGGGATAGAGTGAGGAGCAGGACCCCTCTTGAACTCCCCTCCTGTGCACACACAGCTCCCCATCCCCTCCCCCCAATGCACCAGGTACTTACTCTTGTAGGAGATGCGGGTGATGGTGTCCCGGTTAAGGAGGCGGCTGAGGAAGGGGTTCGAGCTGCCAGCCACCTGTGTGGGGGTACAAGGTGAGGAGGTAGGAATCCAAAAGTCCCAAGTCCAAGTTCCCAATCCTCCCTCCCCCAGGACCCAGGAGTCTGGGCCACCCAGACTCCCTCTTCCCCAGACTGGATTCCAGAATTCCCCTTCGTCCTTTGGGATCTCGCCTCGGCTCACATTGACGAAGAGGCTGAGAATGGCCAGGCCATTGGGGCCCCGGGAGGCGGCGCTGAAGTTCCCGTAGAGTTCTTGGTTGAAATGTATGAGCTGCACCTGGGAGGGGAGCACAGAGTGGGGTTCCCCCAGTAGAAGGGGAGGAGAGAATGGGTGCAGCTCTGGGCCCTCAGGGTCCCAAGGCAGGTTAAAGATTAGTGCTTGGGTGGGGGTGCAGCGGTTCCGCAAAGGAGAGTGGGGTGAGGCATTAAGAGAAAGGTGAGGTGGGAGGAATTGGGTCAGCTCTGGGTGAAGGTCAAGGGTCAGAAGTCAGTGGCCACCACCTCAGCAGAGAAGCCCTGGTGGTTGATCTGGTGTTCAGAGCCAGCTCCATCACGTGCTCCAAAGAGCAGTCGCAGTTCACTGAGTCGGTGGCTGTAGAGGAGGGGACCCCCAGACACATTGACCACGGGCCGCGGGGCAGGCAGGAAGGAGACATGGCGGCCGGTGTTGTACAGTGTTCCCCGGAGCTGTAGGAGAGGAGGAAGCCGTCACAGGGACAAAGAGGGAAGGTCTTTTCCCTCCTGTGTTCCACTCCTACATTTCCTGCTTCCACCAAGCATTTAATCATTCAGCACAGCTGGAACATCAGTTACTTCCCAGGGTCTGTTCTGGCCCCGTGATAGGTGCTCAATATCGGTGCATTTATTCAACTCACAGATATTTATTGAGCTGCTACTATGTGCCATGGATGCCAGGAAGAGAGCAAGGAACAAGTAGGCAAAAACCCTGGGCCTCATGGAACTCATGTCCTAATGGAGCCGAGGCAGACAATAAATAATGAATTACGTAAGTAACTGCTTAATTAATTACACCTTATGCTCAAGCAGGGAAGAACTGAGAGCTCTGAGAAGGTAACATGGGAAGCCCAGCCTAGACTGGGGTGGGGGGTGGGGAGATAAGGAAAGGCCTTCATGAGAAAGTGACATTTGAATGGAGACCCAAAGGATAAGTAGGAATTTGTTGCAAAGGAGAGAAGGGTATTCCTGGAAGAGGAAACAGCAAGTGCAAAGGCCCTGAGGTAGCCTGTTTCAGTGCTAGTGCAGGGGCCTGTGGGACCAGTGCCTGGTGAACGGAGAGGTGACAGGAGCCAGATGGTACAGGGCCTTGTGGACAATGATGGAATGTTTTGTATTTTTATTTAAATAATTAAAAATAAATACATCTATATGTGTGTGTGTGTGTGTGTATATACATACATACATACATATAAATTTATATGTATCTAAAATCTCAGACCTGGCACAGTGCCTGGAACATGGTACTTGTTGTTTAAATCTGATAGTATTACTTCTCCTGATAGGAATATTTTGAGCAGGAGAGTGGAATGCTCTGCTTTGTGTTTTTAAACATCCCTCTAGCTGTGGGATGGAGAATGGACTGCAGAAGGCAGAGAACCAGGCTAGCTAGCACCCTGTGGCACTAGTCCAGGGGCAAGGTGATGGTGGGGGAGTCGGAGGAGACACAAAGTGACAGGATCCAAATGATATTGAGCAAGGAGATGAAAAAGGACCCAGAATGGACAGGGGAATGAGGGCAAGAATGGGTTGGGAATAGCCCTGGGCTTCTGGCAGGGGCAGGTGACTGAAGAGGGGTGCCAACTCTTATAAGAAATGGGATTGCAAAGTGCGCATGAGCCTAGATGCTAGGACCACACTACCTGGGTCTGAATCCCAGTGCTGACCCTCTAGCTGTGTGACCTCAGACAAGTAATTCAATCTCTCTGTGCCTCAGTTTCTGCATCCTTAAAATGAGAACAATAGCCTCTATCTCATGGGGTGCTTGGGAGGATTAGCAGGCTGATCAGGATTTTTAAAACCATGCCTGGCTGGGGAACAGTCTGTGTTACCATTGCTTTTACAGACACGGAAAAACTAGGGAGCCATGTTTGGAGAAGGAAGAACAGGTGATCCATATTAGAGTGTAAGGAGCCTCCTTTCCACCCAGTGTCTACCGCTCCTTACCCCAGGGGGGCCTTCCACCTCCGCACCCCACCCCCACCCGTGCCCACCCCCAGGGGATTTGGTGACCCTTCCCACCAGGCCCCTTACCTTCTCTCCCCCAGTGCTGAGTCTCAGTGGGGGCAGAAAGGGGTCATAAAGGACCCTCTTCAGTTCCACATCCACAGGGCTCTGCCGCTTCCCCACAGCACACAGACTCCAGGCTGCATTCACTAGGCCCCAGAAGGGAGGCCCTGGAGGCAGGGGTGGGGCAGGGAGGAAAGGGAGTCAGAGATAGGACTGGATCCCAAAGCTGGGATCTGCTGAGAAGGCTGTGTTTTGGACTCCCAGATCCCAGGACAGGAAGGGCAGGGGATGGGGACTCCTGGGTCTGAGGGAGGAGGGGGCTGGGAATCCAGAATCTTGGGTCCTAGAAGAATCTTGGAGGAGTTTCCAAAGATCATCTAGCCTCCTCCTTAACCAAACCTACCTTCAATTAAGTCATGGGGGAAGGAACTACAACTCCCAGCAGGCCTGAGGGCTGCCAGCCTACCCATCCACTGCCTGCCTGCCCCAGAGCCCATGGGAGTTGTAGTTCTTTCCACTCTCCCTTGTCCCACAGCTGGATAATGAATGTACGGGGGGAGAGGAGTTGCAGGGGCTGGACAAGGCAGGGGACCCGACCAATGAGCCTCTGGTTCCCAGCACAAGCCAGACCTTCCTGCCTCTTTCCCTGCAAACCCCCCCCCCCACACTCTCCTTTGCACCCCCACACTCCTTCCTTCCACTCACTCCCACTCACTACTTGAAATGCGCATATATAATGTCCCGTGGTGAGCTGCTGGGGTTCAGAGGCTGGGGCCGACTCTGGAGGGAGGAAGGGAGGGAGGAGGGAAGGAAGGGGCTGGGACTCCGGGGTCCTGCGAGGAGGACAGGGCTCCTGGGTCTGAGGAAGGAGGCACCCTGCAGCCCCGAGTCCTGGGTCCCCGCCCTGGCTGCACCTGGCACGAAGTTTCCCTGGAGATTATCCTTGTAGCTCCACCAGTCCTCGGGGTCAGGTGCAGGTCCAATGTGAGCTGGGGAGAGAGCAGCCTGAACCCCTCCCCTTGGTACCCCACCCCCACCTCTCCCGCGGGGGCTCCCGCCCCAACCCCCCGGCCTTACCTGCCGCCCCCAGTGCGGCCCAGAGTACCAGCGCCCTAGGAGCGCTCAGACGAGCAGCAACCCCCATCCCTGGGAGGCCTCTGAGCAACCCCCTCCCAGTGTCCTGGCCCCTCTCTCAGCTCCTCCTTCCCCGCTCTGTGGGACCCTGTCCCTCCAGGACTTCCAGCCTGCCTCTCCTCCCTACAGGGAGTCCCGTTCCCCAAACACCGAGGCAGCAGGGAACTGAGACCCCCCAAATACACTCCTCTCTGCTCTCCCAGCTCTCTGTGCCTCTCCTCCTTCCTTTCCTCTTTTCCCCAACCCTCCAGCCTCCCTCTACCTCCCGATCTTCCTACCCCTTTCTCTGCCTCCTGCTTCTCCCCGGGGTTACCTCCTGGTTTCTAATCCACACCCCCTCTTTGCTCTCTTTTCTTCAGCTCCCCGGAGCCACCTAACCCCATGTCTCCATCCTGCTTCTCTCCTCCTCCCGGTCTCCCTCCTCTCCAGCTTCTTTCTCGCCCAGTCTCCCCACCTCCTCCTCTTCTGCCTCTCCTGTTTCTCCGTCTCTCTCTTCCCTCGTCCCCGCTCCCTCCTCCCCCTCCCTCTCTGATCTCTCTCTGGGTGTTATTTAATTTTTTTTTTTGCCGTTGTTGTTGGGGGGGCGGCGGGTGATCTCACAGCAGCAAACACTCCTCGGACTGGTGTGGGGGGAGACCAAGGGGCAGGATGGAGGGGTCATTGGGGGCTGATATCCAGCTTCCAGCTGTGCCGGGGCCGGGGAAGGGGGGCGGGGGGGGGCCCGGGACACCTGGGGCCCGGAGCTGGCTGTTCCCATCCTCCGCAGAAGGGAGAAGGGGGGGGCGCTTAAGGTGGAGCTGGGGGAGTCCTCCGAGGTCTCCGTGCTCCAGGCCGCCGGTGCCGGAGGATCCGGGGTCCCCCGGCTGGTGCGGACCCGGGTTGGAGCCTTAGCGGCGCCTGCAGCCCCAGCCCAGAGCTCCAGTCGGCCTCTGCTGGGGGCCGCCTTAACGAGACTGAGGGATCCCCTGGGAGACCGGGGTGCGGTGCGGGCAGCTGACCAGGAGGGGGAGGCAGAGACTTGGAGAGGGACCGAGCGCCGGGAGGAGGAGCCGGGAAGGCCGAGGGGAGGCAGCCGAGGTGAGGTCGAAGGACTGCAAAGGCTTAGGAGGGGAAGGGGGGCCCGAGGTAGATGCGGGGAGACATGGCGGAGGGAGACCTGCGTGCTGGAAATGGGGGATCGGGAGGCGGGGGAGGGGGGAGAGGAGAGAGACAGAGACACACAGTGAGAGACAGAGACAGAGTGAGAGAGAAAGAGAGAAGGGGAGATACTGGTGGAGGCAGAGAGAGACGTACAGAGACACACACTTGGCCATAGGAGCAGAAACGCCCATCCCAACGGTCAGAGACGGTCAGAGAAGAAGAAGCTGCCAGGCCAAGGGGGTGGGGGTGGGGAGAAACAGAAACCGAGAAGAGATTCAAAGACAGAGAGACACAGAAACATAGAGAAAGAGGCAGACACACACACACACCTCTGAGTAGAGACCCTCATGCAGAGAAAGAGCTCACCAGAGAGGAAGAGATGGCAGAGACCCAGAGAGAGGGAGAGAGACCCAGAAACAGACCAAGGGACATCAAAGGACAGCGTGGAGTCAGAAAGACAGACATTCAGATAAAGAATTTGGAACGGACAGTCGAAGGCACAGACAGCCAAAGAGAGTCAGAAATGGAGAGAGAGAGAGAAAACGCAGGAAAGAAAGGTATGTATTGCTTATCCATGGCCGCATAAGGAATCACCCCCAAACTTGGTGGCTTCAGCCAACTAGCATTTACTGTCCCACTGAGTCTGAGGGTTTGGAGTTTAGGAATGGCTTAACCGGGACGGGGCGGGGGTCCGCTAGGGTCCAGTTAGCACCTTGACCAGGGTGCAGCCCCCTGGAGGTTAGACACTGGGCTGAACAGCACTTCCAAGTTCCTCATCACTGTGCCTCTCTTGAGGGCTATAAGAGTGCTGGTTTCCAGATCGACTGATAAGAGAGAGAGAGAGAGGAGAGAGCACAAGCAGGGGGAGCAGCAGAGCGAGAGGGAGAATGAGGCTCCCCGCTGAGCAGGGAGCCCGATGCTATGGGTGATGTGGTGATCCCAGGACCCCAGGATCATGACCTGAGCCAAAGGCAGACGCTTAACAACTGAGCTACCCAGGAGCTGTGTTGGCCCATTTTACAGATGGGGAAGCCAAGTGTCAGAGGGTGCAGGTGACTTGCCCAGAGTTACACAAATAGGAAGTGGTGGAGCAGGGGAGGAAAACAGAGCAAAGGGGGACGAAGAAAACATGATGGAGGCATTGTGCTGAGAAGTGAGGAATCTGTCAGGAAGTTTGGCAGGGAGTTGGGGGTTGGAGAACCCAGGACTGTTGGAGAAATAAATCAGGAAGAAATGGCAGCCATCCTGACCAGTTTCCTAGATGCTGGGCCATGCCATGCTCTCTGTTGGCTTTGTTTTAACCCTCAAAGCGGCCCCAGGGAGTGGGGGGGTTAGGATTAGCCCCATTATACAGATAGAACACTGAGGTTGGTCCGAGAGGGAAGGGGCTCTCCCAAGATGGCATGGGTTGAATGGTACCCCCATATCCACACACCAAAAAGTACAGCCAGAGTGGAACCTAATTTGCCAAAAAGTTCTTTGCTAATGTAACTAAGTCAGTGACCGTGCGATTGGATCATCCTGCATTATCTGGCTAGACCCAAAATCCAAGGGTAAGTGTCCTTATGAGAGAAAGGCGGAGGGAGATTCCAGACGACAATGTGCAGACAGAGGCAGAGGCTGGCGTAATTTTGCTACAAGCCAGGGATCACCTGGAATCCCCAGAAGCTGCACGATGCAGGGACAGATCCTCTCCTGGAGGCTTCGGAGGGACTATGGCCCTGCTGACACCTTGATTTGGGACCTGCGGCTTTCAGGACTGTGAGAGAATAAATTGCTGTTGTTTTAAGCCATGCAGTTTGTGGTCATTGTTTACTGCAGCTGACCCCAGGGGTGGGGAGCAATAATGAGAAAGACATGGAACTTTTCGGAGGCAGAGACAATGAAGGAACCAGAGATACAAGGAGGGAGAGACAGACAAGGCTGATAGTGCCGAAGAGCAGCTTCTACCTACAAGTTTGGCTCTCCAAGTTGACTTGTTGGCTCTCCTCCTCCAGGAAGCCCTCCCTGACTGCCCCTCCTCCAACCGGAGTCAGTGCCTGCTGTGCACATTCCTAACGCCCTGTGCTACCTCCATTAGAGCACAGATCCCATTAGGGGAGGAACTGTGTCTTCCCTCAAGGGCCCAGGCCTGACCCATCTCTGGGTGTCCAACACTGGCCCCCAGAGGGCACACTGGGATCCTCAGGAAAGGAATCAAACACAATTGAATGAGATGATGCTCCTGATGTCTCTCCCCAGAGACTCTGGGCTCCTTCTGTCTGCTGGGAGACAACTCCCAGCGAGGGCCTCACCTCCCCTCGGGAAGTCTTCTCTGATCTAAGAGGCGAGGTCCCCTGCCGCCTCCATTATTACCCACCGCACCAGATGTGACTGGACATAAGTCTGTCCCCTAGCACACCCTCCCAGATGGGGAGCCCCTGCAGGGCAAGTCCTGGGTCTGACTCAGATCTCTATCCCAGCATTTTCCAGGGAGACCTCAGGAAACAATGTTTTTTGCGTTTGCTTTCTTTTGTTTCTTTCTTTTTTTTTTTTTTTAGATTTTTTTTTTTTTTTTTTTGACAGATCACAAGAAGGCGGGGGGGCAGGGGGCGGGGGGGGGGGGGGCAGACTCCCCGCTGAGCAGAGAGCCCAATGCAGGGCTCAATCCCAGGACCCCAGGGCCATGTCCTGAGCTGAAGGCAGAGGCTTTAACCCACTGAGCCACCCAGGCACCCCAGGAGTATATGTTGAATAAACAAATAAGTGAGTGAATGAAGCCAAAATAGAGAGAAGGGGACATTCAGAAACGGGTGGGAAAAAAATTTTTGCACGGCCGTTAAGAGGAAGGCTTTCTGGGTGTAGGTGACATTTTCCTGACTCTTTTTCTGTCCCCGTAACTGGGGCCCCAGCTCAAAACTCATTCTCCTCCCGCCCCCCCATCTTCCCCTCCCAGACTCTCCCTCCCCCTTCGGTGTACCCCTCACAGATCCTAGAGTTCACCTTCCCTCTGCTCTAGCCACAGCAGTCCCATTGATGCCCAGCTCCCCTGGATGGAGTGCCGGCCCCTCAGCCTTTCTCTTGGGGACCAAATCCTTTATCTGTCCTTCAAGACCTACCTTGAATGTCACTCTCTCTGAGGCCTTTCCTGATCTCCTGGCTCTCAGTGAACTTTTTTTTAAGTGTTTTATTTATTTAGGTAATCTCTACACCCCATGTGGGACTCGAACTCATAACCCCAAGATCAAGAGTTGCATGCTCTTCAAACTTAGCCAGCCAGGCGCCCCCATATCACTGATTTTTTCTCACAGAGGTCTGACCCTCCCCCTCCAGGGCTCAAAGACCTCCCATGGCTTCCCAGTGCCCTCCCCACCCCCAGGAGAAACACACAGGCCCTCAGCCTGGCCTTAGAGGCCTCCCAAGCCTTGGCTAGCATCAATCCCGAGCCTCATCTCACTTCTCTATACCGCACCAGGTCCTTGAGCTTCCAGACCTTTGGACAAGCTGTTTTCTCTAACTGGGGTTCTCTTTTCCCTCTCCTCCACCGAGCAAATTCTTACTCAGGAGTCTGCTTTTCCAGAAAGCCATCAGCAGTGGTGAGGTGGGCAGGAGCCTCGTTGGAGCTCTCGAAGCCACCTGTCCCTGAGCCCCCATTATAGCACACAGACAGACTGGGCTCCATGCCCGGAGGCGGAGGGAAAGGCCAGGCCGGAGGTGGGTCCCAGATGTGGATTTCATGCCTATTTGTCTCGGTTGCTGGGAACAAAGTTCGGGTCATGGGGAACATATGGGGCTCGCCCTGCGCATCACTTTCATCTCCTACCTCCCTGGCCCCTGGGTGGGAGGCAGGAGGGCCAGACCTCTCCAGGCCTGGGTGGTTCCCACAGCCTCTGTTCACCTTCTCACCTTGAGAACAGGGAGAGAGCTGCCCCCAACTTCCACTCCCTTGGGGAACCCAGCAAATTCTGCACATCAGTATTCTCGCCTTCTGGGCTCTGCTCTCCTGGTGGGGGTGGGGTGTGTGTGTGTAGCTACCAGACACTTAAATAATAACAAATTCAAAAGTCTCTTCCTCTGTGCCAGGCAGTTCTAAGCCCGTTAAACCACATAGTAACTCTTTTAATCCTCATAATATGCCCTATGAGGCGCCTGGCTGGCCCAACAGTGGAACGGGCTACTCTTGGTCTCGGGGTTGTGGGTTCGAGTCCCACATTGGGTGTAAAGATTGCTTAAAAATAAAATCTTTAAAAATAATCATAATAATAATAAGTCCCATGAGTTACTTCCTATCCTCCTCATC